CTTAGGGACTTCCAACAGGAATGAAATCCTCCTGACGCCTTGATTTAAGTTCACTTCAGAACCAGAAGAGCATTAAGTTTATCTTAAGCCTATCTATCGGTGCCTTCTGAAGCAGCACGGCAGAAAATGAATGCAGTCCCAATAGAGAGATAATACAGGAGAAACTCTCCTCAGAAGGAACCAGACACTGTAACTGAAACTGATATATTTGATCGTGATGTTATAGACAGAAGTTTTCTTGATGTGAGATCTCCCTCTGTATGGTGTGATTACCATTGATAAATAAAGGAACTGCTTTGGGCCTATAGCAGAGCTATAGGGGAACAGGCCTAGGCAGGGAAAACTAAGGTGAATGCAGGAAGAAAGGAAGCGGACTCAAGAGAAGTCATGGAGCTGCTGCCTGAGACAGATGTGCTGAAACTTGGCTGGTAGGCCACGACCTTGTGGTGATGCACAGATTAATGGAGATGGGCTAAATTAAGATGTGAGAGTTAACCAATAAGAAGCTAGATCTGATGGGCCAAGCAGTGGTTTAAATAATATAGTTTCTGTGTGATTATTTCAGGGCTGAGCTGATGAGCAGCCGGGAACCAAGAAGCGACCTCCTCCAACACTTTCTTAGAAGGAGAGGACCCAGGTCCTCACCCATTAGTATAACTGATAAACACAGAGTATGAGTGGGGACATCAGAACTGAGTCAAAGAATACCGAGTCTGAGGTAACAAGGTTCCTAAAACAGAAGGGTGGGTGGAGTAGGTAAGTGAAGCTGACAAGGGAGGCGTGGTGTCAACTGGAAAAGAACATCCCTGTAAGTGAGCAGAAGACAGACGTGAGAAAGAGCATTCTGCACAAGGACCAAACACATTTTAGAAATATCTGTGTAGAAGCAGATGAATGCCAGCCTCGTCCATGACTCTGAGGACAAAGGGTGAGGAACTGCTAAAAGGCGAAGGTGACTCTGGGAGGAAACCACACCGTATCATCCCAGAAACAGTTTGGTGGCCAGTGACAAGGACAGTGTCTAGGACAGACGGAGTTCTCAAATGCCCACTGAACTGAGTGAGTGGTAGGAATAGAAGTCAAATTCTAAAACATTCAAGTTGATTGTCAACAGAGACTGAAGAGACTTGTCATTCTAGCAAAACCCCGTTCAGAGAATGAGGATGTGGAAGAAGAAGGATGATGATAGCTATATCTGGCCTAGAAAAGGCAAATGAGGTAGGAACCGAAGTCCAAGTAAGTGATGTGTGGTAAGAACTGGCCCAGGAGTGGTGTCTCACACCTATGATCGCTTACTTCTAAGGAAAAAGAAATATAAGTTAATTTCAAGGCCGCTTGGACAACACAGCAAGACTCTGCCTAAATAAACACGCCAAAAAAGAAAACCTGGGTATCAGCGTTAACATGAAAAACAGGAGAGAACAGATCCAAGTTCACGTAGGTTTTTGAGGTGGTTAATGTCATAAAGGTCAAGGAGTGGTTATTCACATATATGACAATAAAAGTCACACAGTGAGTAAGAGGCTCAGGAGTGGAAAGGAAGACACTAAGCCAGGTGGCAAAGTCCTCAGTGACCAGATGGTCAGAAGATAAGAGCATTAACAAAGAACTCTTCAGCCTCAGAAAGGTTACATGTTAACCAAACGTCAGCTGTCAGAAACAACTACAGTTTTTAAAAGTAATAGTCTACATGCAGAGCTGGGCAAAAGTTGGGCCCTCCGCTATAATAGTTACGTAACTGTGACTCGGAGTTCAGCACTTAACTTCTTAGTGTGCGTTTTGTCCAGCAATGCATCAGGGCAAGAGAAGCTTACACAGCACAGGTTGAAATCAAACAGCGCACGGAAGGTACTTACAAATGACTGGTTCCCGACACGGATGGTATCGTCTATTTAGTGCAGTGGTGGCTAATGTGATGTATTATGTAGACGGCTTAGAGTAAAATCTGCCGTCCTGATAGCAGCGCGTGTAATCTCAGGGGAACTGCAGACTACTTGCGTTTAGCCTGCTTTCGCTTTCACGTGTCCAGTTTCCCCACTTGACTTCAAGTTTATTCTACGTTTGTGTTTCTGTGAAGACTAAAACTAGGCCTGACATAAAGGGAAACCCAGTATAAAATTTTGAGGGAGTTATTTTCTTTGTAACTATTCTCTCAAGACTCCTAAACATAAATTAACTCGGGAGGCAGAAAGAGTTCAGAAATGTCTAGAAAGAACCGCTTAGATGGTTGGTACTTGGTTGCCATCTAGAAGGTGGATCTGGGAAGGTTCCATCACTGCAACTGGTAACCGTGGCCAGTTTGCAGTGTGGATTACGCTGAATGACTTGCTTTCCTCGTGAAGCTGCAATTTTGGTGCCTACTTGACGGAAAGTTCCTTCATGCTCAGCCCCCAGTGAAAACTTTGGCCCTGTGGCTGAAGCAGTTACCGACAGAAAGCCCTGTGCATTGTTGCGACCTTGCCCTGTAGCTGAAGCCGTCACCGACAGAAAGCCCTGTGCATCTGCTGTAACCTTGGCCCTGTGGCTGAAGCAGTCACCGACAGAAAGCCCTGTGCTTCTACTATTACCGCTTCCAACTCCCTGCTGAGGACATGGGTGTTTGGAGTAGATAACTCTGGGAGCCTATGCCTGATTTCTTTGAACCTTGCACCAAGTGACTTTTGTCATTACTGATCTTGCTTTGCATTCTTCTGCTAGTAAATCTTAGCTGTGGCTTTTCAGGGAGATAGTGTCATAGCCAACGAGGTTTATCTCAGATGGAATTATTGCTAATTGAGTACATCTTAGTTGTGAGTAGGACATTATCTTGTGTCTGAGTCATCTTAGGAAGTCATTAGACTCTGGCTCTTTGAAATCCTCAATACTAATAAACATTGTAATAATATTAGAACTTTACCCTAAAAATTTCTGATTATATCCCTATGTTTATAGGTTTTATATAGCATTTTAGGGTTTGGTTTTCCACATCAAGTCTTTGGGACAAGAGAAAGATACCTGTATTAGCTAATTTTGGTTGGTTTCATATCCAAGAAGAGGGAACCAAACTGTAGAATTGTCCCCACTGGATTGCCCTATGACCGCATCTGTAGGGCAATTTCTTGATTGATAATTGATATAGGAAGACTTGGCCCACTGTGAGAGGCACCATCCCTAGGCAGGTGGGTCTGGGCTGTGTAAGAAAAGTATGTGAGGTAGAAGCAAGCCAGTAAGCAACTTTCCGCCACGGCTTCTGTTTCTGTTCCTACCATGTCTTCCCTCAGTGATAAACTGTAACCTGAAATATGAAGGAAATCCTTTCTTCCACATGTTGCTTTTTATCAATGTAACTAGAACAACACGAAAGACACACAACACCCCTTCAAAAGGCTTAGGATACTTTCCCTTCGTCCTCATCCTATAGGTATTTGGGGGCAAGAAAATGCTTAAGGATGAAATAAGCTTGTAAGGGAAGCAACTGTAACAATGTCTGGTACATATTGCTGTACATGTGAGATTATCATGACATCACATGCAAACTCTTTATTTGTGTGCATGTGTCTCTGTAGGTACCCCCCTCTCTTTCTCTCTCTCATTGTGGCTTGAATTCAATATTGATAGCACTAACTCTGTATAGCAGTCAGGGTACATTTTCTGAAATATAAAAATTTCAAGTCTTTAAGGAATTATAACCTATAAACTAGAATAAATAAACTACAGTGCTAAAGATGCAGCTTTCTGGTAGTGTACGCTTAGCATGCACAAAAGCCCTGAGTGGATTCCTGGCACCCAAACAGGACAACAACAAAAACCCAAACAATGAGACAGAACTATGTTCATATCAAACTAAATTTACAAATTAAATTTGAAAAATGAATCCAACATAAAAGTTTAGCATAAATGTTTCTCCCTGTGCAAGTATATAAGAATGAAATCTTTTAAAAGAATAAAATCTAAAACAAAAAGCTGTCATTTGGTGAGTCAAGAATTATTTCTGTGATGACCTGCGTGGTATGCTTTGTATCCTCAGCACATAGGAGGATCACGGATTCAAGGTTATCCTCAACTACACAGGGAGTTAGAGGCCAAGATACTTGAGCCCTTGTGTCAAAACCACCAGCAACAATAATGACAAGGGCAAAAAGAGGCGTGGAGATGTGAAACCAAGGGAGCCTTGTGAGAGCAAATGTAAGCAGAAAAAGACGTAGATGGTCTAAGATAACCAGTCTTCAGTTCAAGTCAGAAAACTGTTTTCCTACCTAAAGCTATTTTTAGATTGAGTGTACAAAGACACACTTTCCACGGCACTTTTTCATCTCCTATGGATGGGTGAATTATAAGAGTGCTGCAAGATCAAATGGTTGAGCACTCTCCCAGGCTCCAAGGCCTGGAACAGTTCAGGTACGTTTGCATGGAACCTTAGAAAAAAGGAAGTGCTCCAGGAAATAGAGATAAAATAAAATTCCTGCCATATGAGCTTTAAAAAGGCTTCCAAACAACTAGCTTGCAACCAGAAAAACTAAATAGTTGTGTAATTCTTTCAAGTTTTACATTTTTCAGCCATTCAGCACAGAGGAATAATGGCATATGCCAAATCATCATAATAAATAAGCCATTGCTACTTTTTATTATTGTAACTATTTGGGACTTTGACCCTGCCAGGGTGTAAGGAGCATTAAAAATGTCACGCAATGTAGCCATCTCCCATTTTCAGATGGCAAAGATCATGACAAGGAAAGATGTCTATGGAGGCCATAGATCACAGAGGCGTAACTCATAAGGATAATACCGAAGCTGAGGCAAGAAGGTGTGTCTGCTAAGCAACAAGGGGAGCCTACGAAGTCACAATCCAGATGCCAAATTATAAACAGCCTTCCTTTGAAAACAGGAGAACTCCAGTCTAGCTTTACCTCCCCATTACTACCGTCTCCAAGGAAATCCTAAACTGATGGTTTATTTCTTTTCTAGGGGACAGAAGGAGGAGATAAATTTGAAAGTATTGTAGTAAGAAATTCAAAACTCACCATTGTAAACACACTGACCACCGGTTTCTTTTCTTTCTTCTCCTTTTTACTGAAAATACAGAAGAATAATTACATAAAACTTTAAAAATTATGTCAAACTTTAAATTAGTAAATCAATTTACAGAGATTTTGCTAAACGACAAGACAAAATTCATGTCTATATTAGTCAATAAAAACTTAATAGTATGACATGAGATTTAAATGTAAATATGTCTGCATATATCTTAGAAGCCAGCATGGCTACTGGTAAAAACTGGGATCCTTGTACCTTAGATATTTATTAATTTTCCACGATGTGTATACACACACACACACACACTTTTTCAATGAAAAAAACACACACTAACAGTAATGCTTTACTTTTTTATTCCAATTACAAAATTCTTCATGCTTTTAGTATTGATTGCCTTGATTGTCACCTGAGTAATTGTATCACTAGGCATCCTATCTATCGATTGAATATTATTCTTTCCTAATAGAGCAAAGTGATGATCCGATGCTGAGCACACTAGCCTAAGAAACAGAATAATTAAATCAGCCTCAGAGGAAATCTGATTGAGAACGGGTAATATGCAGCACTAAGTGAACCATTATGGGAAGAAATGGAGTCTAGAGACGATGCTCTGTAAACAGGCAGAAAGCTGTCCTCAGACATAAAGGTTCAACCCAGATTCAGATGACTCCCTACCTCATTTTCAGTACACGTAACTGCCACCTACGATGAAAAGTAAACTCACCATACAGTTTCATTATTTCTGTGTTAGAACGGAAAGCCTTACTTTTACATGCATTTTAAAGTTCAAAAAGTAAGTTTGTCTTCTCTCTTCGTTTGACAAAATGGTGTTCAAAAGAAAAACTCAGTAACTTTTGCAATCACTCTCCACTTTATTTTTCAGACACTCACTGAATTTGGATCTTAGACCAATCAGCAATAATCAACAGTCTAATTTGCTTAGACTGTTGGTCCTCAACCTTGGGATCCCAGGCACAGATGACACACCTAGCTTTTTTTAATGTGGCATTTTGTAGCTAGAACTCGAGTCCTTACACTTGTATGGCAATCATTTTACAGACGGAACCATCATCCCAGTGCTAAAAAAAAAAAAAAAAAAAAAAAAAAAATTCTAAAGGAAAAGGTCAGAGGTCATTTGCATCTGGTCTGAGTTAGATGGACAATGGACGGACTACACATAAATATCTCCATGTTTGATTTCACCCCATTCTCTCTACAGGCATATTCAGTATCCCGGAACCCAGAAAGAGACGAGAACAATAACCATAAACAGCCCAGTTTTAGTTCTATGCCTTTTATGCTCCCGTTCTCTGAAATCGATGCTGTTTGGGGATGTTATACTAATATCCCAGGCACTGAGTAAGCATCCCCCACACAATGTGTAAACAATTCTGAGGAAGGCAAACTTTTTCTCTCAGGGACGAGAAGACTGCAGAAGAATGAAATCCTTAAACCCAAGATTTAAACAAGTTACAGGGCTGAGCTCCACACTGTAAGATACTTCTCAGACTTTTAGGATATTGTATGGTTTGAAGATGTACTTTTTTTTTTCTTTTTTGGTTTTTCAAGACAGGGTTTCTCTGTGGTTTTGGAGCCTGTCCTGGAACTAGCTCTTGTAGACCAGGCTGGTCTCGAACTCACAGAGATCTGCCTGCCTCTGCCTCCCGAGTGCTGCTACCACCGCCCGGCTGAAGATGTACTTTTTCAGCAGTTCTCAGCCCTAGACTATTTTCCACCCCCATCAGCACAGTCTTTACAAAGGGATCAACCATTATTTTAGAGCACTTGTATAGAGTGCGCAGGGCCTTGGTTTTGAACAATACTGTGAAACAAATAAAAAACAACAAATAACTATTTGTGAAGAATGTATGTAAATGCATATAATCCAGGTAGTACTATTATTAGTTCTCCATTTTCTGTCAACAAAACTGTCAAGGTTAGTATATAATTGACCTAGATTCATAAATTGCTAATATTCGACTATTTATCCATACAAAATGTATGTGTTATAAATTGTTAAGATTCTGCAAAACTATTAAGCTAAAATATTAGAAATATTAGTGGAATATTCAGACATTCCACCATCATTATCATACCTAAGAAACATAACCTCAATGCTGAGATGACTTCGAATCCAACCCACAAAGTTCCCGAGTATGCTCTCTGTCTTCACTGAACTCCGACTTAGCGCTCACACAACACATTTGCTGGTCATGGTTCTTTAGTATCTCTTAAATAGAATCCCCCTTTTGTTGTGACACTGGTTTTTCTTAAGGGACAGCTGTACTGTGGTTGTATGTGCTTCAGACTGAGCCCAGATGGAGGTGAGTGCTGAGTAATGGTATTCACAAACCAGATATGTCACTAGGAGAGCTTGTTTCTGATCTCCCTTCTGATGGACTGCAAAGGAAGAGTCGTAAACCAGCACACTTCAGTGTGTTTGGTGGGTTCAACGGGCAGCCAGTTCTCGGTCCCAGAGGGTATCTGATGACATTCTAAGGTGTGTGTTAAGGGATGCTTGGGATCTGCTTGGCTAAGACAGTTATGGGAATGCTAGGCAGGCTGACAACAAGGGTACTATAGGGGCTGAAGACTGCCTAGGATAATTTGTGAGCAGGTTCTAGACCAGCAACATTCCTACCTCTCCCCATCCTTGAAGTTCTAATCAGTTAATCAGCCTTCGGAGAATTCTGAATGCAAGACATAGCTTCTTTCTTTCTGTGGTAATACAACCACTTTATATAAAAACAGCTATTGGCAGCTAAACAAAATGTAACGTTTGCCTCTCTTTCTTTTGCCACAAACAGGTGATTTCTACAGAGTTTCTTTATCAGAAGCAAAATAATGGACCACGGCAGAGACCCAAGCAGCATATGGCACAGGTGCACGAGCGATCAACAGTGCTCATAAAGCTGAGGTTATAAAACTAAAAGGGTGTGAGCCGTGGCCGGCCTGGAAGCTGAACAGGAGCCTCCTTCGTCACACACACCTGAAGGGCTGCTCCAAGCAGAGGAGTTCCTTCCAGTGACTGGTTTATGTTTCTGAAGGTTGAAATAACAACCACTAATCATTTAGGGCAGTCCCGGAGGCTACAAACTAATTGCTCAAATGTACAAGACCTGTTCAGTATTAAAGTGAAACAATCCGGCTACCTCTTTTTGCCCATCTTCGAGTTCTTGTCTGCTCTTCCGTTCAGGTCCTCTTCAAGCTCCATCACAACCTGGGGAGAAACCACAGTTCAGCAGCTAAATACATGCCCGCTGGGGCACAGAGCCTAGGCTGACCTCACTGCCCCGCGGAGCCCAGCGGTGAGCAGGAGCCCCGCCCTGATGCTCCTGGTCTAGGTCTGGAGTAACTCAGCCCGGGGAACTCCAGAGTCACTCACGTGGACCGTGTTATGGACTCTGAATCCCGCCGCCCCTCCTGCCGGGTCCCCTCGACCCCAGTGCACTCCTCCACCCGCCGGCGGCTAGGAGCTAGGTAGCAGGATCCACCGCCCCGGGCTGGCGCCGAAACACCGCCGGGGGGGGGAGAGAGGGGGTGCTTCCGGAGCGACTTGGAGAAGTGGCCACTTGTTCCCAACGGACTTTCTAGACCCATGCCCCCCCCCCGGACCAGGCTTAGGCATCCAGAGCAAGGAACCCTTTCTGGGAACTGCCTACCTCTCGAGTCTCTACCTCCGCTTTCCTTCGCAAAGTCCGCCAAGACGTGGGATTTGGAAGATGCGACCCTGAGTGTAGTGGAACCTGGGAAGATGGGGACAGCGGCTCCTGGAAACCGCTGCTTGAGTGTGCTCGGGCTTTCTGAGGACAGGAGAGTACATTTGGCGTGCTCAAGCTACGCCCAGACACAGTCCCGCCCAGTCAGCGAGCATGACCAGGAGGTTAACCAGCTCCTGGCCCAGCTTGACTCAAGGATATTGCAGGAGAAATTGCGAAACAGGTTGGATTTCTAGACGAAATGCGCAGCCTGGGCTCCCCTCACAAAGGTCGAGTTGACAAACTCATATCTCAGGAATCATCAGAGACACACACTTCCATATATGGAGTTATTTGTGGACAGATCTTGGCTCTCTGCAAGTGGAAACTTAAAGGACACCTTCTATGCATAACATCCGATAGTCAATTAAACAATGCAGACCCTGCCCAGTCACTAAAATTTCCCTTCCTTGAAGAGAATCCCTGTGCGGAAGGTGTTCTTTAGTATATTTCATAGTTTTTCAGGTATATCTGTTTATCTTTTATCAAAAAAAAAAAAAAAAAAAAAAACAACCAGAAACAAAGAGGAAGATTTCCAGTACATAAATGGATCATTTCGGTGTAGCAATGGTATTTGAAATTATGTGAAATTTTGAGCTTTTAGCTATCAAATCAATGTTCATGTTCCTCCAGAGCATTTGAAATTCTTACAGTTCAAGTGGATTACTAAACATAATTTTAACACATTACTTTGGTCGCTATTTCTCTGTGTATTCACCTTTTATATTCGTTCTGAGATTTTTTTCAAACTGGCCAGAAGTAAAAGCAATCTTCCTAATTCAAATTCACAAAGCAGTTTTAAATCCTCTGTTTCATTCTTTTGTAAAACATAAGGAAAGTGGTTGTTTTGTAAGCTCTAACTTTCATTATCTAACTTGTACCCTTGCCTCTGGACTTGCTGCAACCATTGAGAAAAAGAAAACCCCCTGCCGTTGTTGCCGCGGGGTGTGAAAGTGTTACTTCTTCCTTTAATAAATTTCAAAGCCATTTTTTTTTTCACTTTTTACCCAAAAACATCCTTGCTTTGACTCTTTTGGGAGGGTACACGTAACTGATTTAAAAAAAAAAAACTAATATTGTTATAGACCTTCTAACAGTTCACTGGTTGTTTTGTTCGGCTTCCTTTGGGTTTGTTTGTTTTAGGCGGGGGAGGGTTGTTTTTCTCTTTTCTAATTGGCTGTTCTCATGCACAGCACCTGTAGTCTACCTGGGGCAAACATATGTAAATCCTCACATTCATCCTAAGCATTCCCAGTCTTGCTGGTGCTTTTGCTGTCTCACTAGAGGCTGCACCTCTCCTATGTTTGTCCTGTACACTCTTGAAGGGACCACGGGAACTCACATTTCTTTAGCACTGGTCACGTAGGAGAAACTACACCAAGCACATCAACAGGATAAACTCATTTAATCCTCACACGAACTGATGGAGTTGTTGTTATTCCCGCTGTTCTCAGTTCCCGGGTAGAAGCAGGTCTACAACATTTGTCAAAAAGCATCAGACCCAGGAAAGTGCTGTGACAACTATCCTCCTTTTTTCTTTCCCTCCTTATTTTTTGTCTCAATATCGATTTCCAAATTGACTTTGAACTTTCAGTATCCCAGTTTGAGTCACTGGAATGCTGGCGTACAGGCACGTACCACCCCACACCTTCACCCTTAGCCACCCTACACTCTAGAACATGACTGTAGGACATTTTTGCCCTACCAGTTTGAATCTCATGAAACTTTTCACCTTATGACTAGGCTTTGGAAATGCTATAACAGCCTCTTACATCCCATCTAAGAATTGATTAGGTTTTCAGGACGATAGCACAGACGTCTCTCTACTCTTCTGCCTCGCCTCCTTAGACCATCTCCCCCAACACATCTATGTTCACTCTTACTTCAGCCAGTGCACTGTACCTCTCAGGGGACTTGCTTTTCCTACATGTGAATCTCCCTGTGTTGAAGACTTGGACCCAATGCAGTAGGATTTAGGGGCTGGGCTTTGGGGAGTGGTTGGGCCATGGAGCTCTGACCTAATGAGTGGATTGATCCAGTGGTGAATTACTACTCTGCTGGGCTATTGGGGTTTCACTGAAATTTAGAAGGTGGAACTTAGTTCCAGGAAGGTGGTCTATCCTCATAATTATGTTTTTCCTAGTCTCCCTTCATTGCCTCCCTTTGTTTGCTGAGGGCCATGATGTGAACAGCTGTGCTATACCACATAATCGCAGCCATGATGCTCTTCAGCCTGGCCTGTGGACTGACATCTTGAAAATCATGAATCAAAATAAACCCTTTCTGCTTTGAATGTTTCTCTGAGATAGTCCATGACAGCGATGTAAAACTAACATGTGTTCTCCTAAGATTTCTAACTATTCAAGTTCTTCTCATGACCCTCTTGTAAATTGTGTCTCTTTCCTTGATTCCTATAAGAATGAATTTCCTCTTCTCCTAGCTCTTCTATTTCTACTTTGAGTTCAAATTTAATATATTCTGAAAGAGGAGCAAAGTTCACCTTGATGAACTCACTTGACTTGAGAGGAAAAGACTATCATAGGATCCCAGTGCACAGCAGATGATTCACTTGTGCTAACAATAAAGGATCCACCATATTACAGTGTCCACCCATTTATGTGTAACTGACTTTTATGTGTGAAAGATATACGACTATCTAAGTGACAAGGACATTGAACGACTGTACCCTAACTCACATCACCACCGGATTGCTTTTTAAAATCCTGCATTAGAAACATCCAAACTCTTGTTTTTATTGATATTTATTGAGCTCTACATTTTTCTCTGCTCCCCTCCCTGCTTCTCCCCTCCCCTTCAATCCTCTCCCAAGGTCCCGGTGCTCCCAATTTACTCAGAAGATCTTGTCTTTTTCTACTTTCTACTTTCCAAGTAGATTATATCTTTGTAAGTCTCTCCTAGTGTCTGCATTGTTGTCTAAGTCCTCTGGGATTGTGGTTTGTAGGCTGGCTTTCTTTGCTTTATGTTTAAAATCCACCTATGAGTGAGTACACGTGATAATTGTCTTGCTGTGTCTGGGTTACCTCACTCAAAATAATGTTTTCTAGCTCTATCCATTTTCCTGCAAAATCCAAGCTGTCATTTTTTTTTTTCTGCTGTGTAGTACTCTATTACATAAATGTACCACATTTTTTTCTTATCCATTCTTCGGTCGAGGGGCATCTAGGTTGTTTCCAGGTTCTGGCTATGACAAACAAAGCTGCTATGAACATAGTTGAGCACATGTCCTTGTGGCACGATTGAGCATCCTTTGGATATATACCCAAAAGTGGTATTACTGGGTCTTGAGGAAGGATGTTTCCTAATTTTCTGAGAAATCGCCACACTGACATCCAAAGTAGTTGTACCAGCTTGAATTCCACCAACAATGAATGAAGTGTTCCTTTTACCCCACAACCTCTCCAACATAAGTTGTCATCAGTGTTTTTGATTTTGGCCATTCTTACAGGTGTAATAAGGAATCTCAGAGTTGTTTTGATTCACATTTCTCTGATGACTAAGGATGTTGAGCATTTCCTTAAGTGTCTTTCAGCCATTTTAGATTCATCTGTTGAGAGTTTTCTGGTTAGGTCTATACTCCATTTTTTTTATTGGATTATGTGCTCTTTTGGTGTCTAATTTCTTGAGTTCTTTGTATATTTTGGAGATTAGATCTCTGTCTGCTGTGGGGTTAGTGAAGATCTTTTCCTACTCTGTGGGCTGTCGTTTTGTCTTGTTGACCATGTCCTTTGCTTTACAGAAAAATCCAAACTCTTTGCTGGGCAAGATTTCCCATTGGGCAAAGGCACTTCCCACCCGGCTGACAACGTGAGTGGGATTCCCAGAACACACGGGGTAGAAAAGAACAACTCCTGCAGGCTGTTCTCTGACCTCTCTATGCATGCTCACAAACAAACAAATAAATTTCCATTTTTTTTTTTTTTTAGTTAAAAGAAAAATCTAAACTTTTCAATTTGGTAATTTCCAAAGAGGTCTTGCTCTCGTTGGGCCTATAAAGCAGCAGTCACAGCTCAAGTAAGACGGTGATAATTGTAAAGTCACTTAATTTAAAGTTGAGAGATTTATAAAATATTCTAGGCAGAGATGATTTCCACCCTTCATCCACTCCTAGTTAGCTTTGTTTTAAATTTGGTAAATACCAGAATTTTATCTGAGGATGGGGTTTTTGTTATTTGTGGCTCACATAAAGATTGCATATCTTATTAAAATACCATGTGCTGAGGGCGCAGCATTAGCAACCGCTTACTGAAGCTGGCCTAGTAGGTTAGCTGCCTGCATTAGCTTTAGCTTTGTCAAATTTCTGTCACCAAACATCTCCTCGAAGATCCTCTAGTGTTATCTTTCAAACTCCACTAGGAAATCATCCCCCTGAGGAAGGCACTGTCTTCTGTACCTACTATAAGACTTTTAAGAGACTGGTAGAACAAAGGAGTAAGTTTGGATGGGACTGAGAATGAAGTGGGCTAAGGAAGGTCTAATTCCAGTTTCATCACTTGTTGCTGGATAGCTCTGGACAAGTTACCCAGATTTCAGCATTGCTAAACCAGAGGCAATATAAGGATCTATAGCTTGAAGAAGCGAATGGGGCAAGTTTTAGAAAACATTCAGTATAAGGCATGCTATTACCTGCACTTCCTGACGATGACGGCCAATGGCCAGACACCAAGGTGAAAGGGAAATTTAAAAGTTCAGACGTAAAGTTGTAATGACTGGAAGGGGTAGTGAAGGATCCTAAAAGTAAATATGATGTAGAAATAATTATAAACAATTGTTTTATATCCAGAAACACAGAAGTCTTTTGATTTTAAATGCAATAATAAGCTGAATACCTATTCATTTGAAACATTACAGAAGACCTATGTTTTAATATGTAAAGAAACTCATATAAATGGATAGGAATAATACAAAGACTCAAATATAACTGGGAAAAAATAAAAATAGGCAATGCGTATATAAAAGGAAATAGTACATTAAAAATTGAAAAGTTGAATACGGAAATATTCATGATAGCAACAAAGAAGCACAAATTAAAACACAAATGTATTTTGAAAAACTGTGGCTATAGAATGTTCATAAAAGTAAAATAAGATGGCATTAAGATGAATAGAGAAACATTGTAGCCATATATATCTTAAATATGTTTGATCCATTAATTCAATTTGAGGAAATTTATCTTAAGTGATTAGAAGTAAAAGATTAAGGATAAAGTACAGATGTGTCTATTTCTGCCTTATTTCCTTCTGTTAAAAATGAGAAGTGGCATAAATATTTAACCACGTGTGCAAGGCTGAGAAAACAACACTCTCTCTTTTAGGTTGTTTTTTTTTTTTGTTTTTTTTTTGTTTTTTTTTTTTTTTTTNCCGAGACAGGGTTTCTCTGTGGCTTTGGAGCCTGTCCTGGAACTAGCTCTGTAGACCAGGCTGGCCTCGAACTCCCAGAGATCCGCCTGCCTCTGCCTTCCGAGTGCTGGGTTAAAGGCGTGCGCCACCACCGCCCGGCTACACTCTCTCTTTTAAACTTCGTTCTTTTGTTACATACGGGCATTAGTAGATGGTGTCTGTGGAAGAGAGCGTGCATGCACGACAGCCAGAGGGCACTTATATTGTTGGTGTTCTCTTTCAAACTTTCTAGAGGCTCCAGGGATTGAATTTGTGTTGCCAGGCTGGCATGACAAGTGCCCCGATGTGTTGAGCCACCTTGCCTTCATGTGACACAGTGTCTTAAAAGAGAGTAGGAATGTAAACATCACTTACAGAGTTTGTAGTAACACCGGAAAATACCCATACTAATGCTGCCAGGAAAAGGGCAAGGAGAAACTGTGACAGCGTAGTAACAGGAACTATGTGAAGTGAGCCAGTCTCTGCGAAACTAGAAACACACTAAGGCGTCAAAGGCTCTTCCTTTCTAGTGGTGGAAATTAGATGAAGATTTTAAAACTGAAACTTCTTGTATTTTGAAATTTTCCTGCATTAAAAGTGTATTTTTTCATAGTGGAAATGGTAAAGATGATTTTTTTTTTATATATAAAGCACACAGAGAAGGCAGGGGGCCAGAATCCTACCCGTTGTTTCTCAATGCAGTTTGCTCATTATTAAGAACCAGTCCTATCTGGGGAAGGCCAAAATGAACAGGCAAGTGACACAGAATTCCTAGGACCCTTTTTCCTAAAAATTTTCATGCATATTTTTCTCACCATATTTCTAATAAAAGGAAGGGAAAGGGAGAGAGATAAAGAGAACTGTATAGCACGTGAAACAGGATGACTAAGGTGGCTGATGCCCACTGCTTTTGCCCATCAACTGCTTATATAACTTGGATGCAATTTTTCCCCTAACTGATAATTTCTTCAAAGATTTAAGGAGAAGACCAACGACCTGATTGTAACTTCCCAGAATAAACACTGGATATATCTCCTTGGCGAAGATTAAATCAGGGAAGTGCCTTAAGGAATTAAT